AAAAAAACAAATAAATAAAAATGTACTTGTGCAAATTTCCTATATTTTTCATTTTGATTCTGTGGCGAAATAAGACCCAGACATGTTTTGCATCACAGACTCACAGTTGACTCTGCTGACGGAGTCTTGTATTTCTCTCTGCGTCAGGTATTCCTCATAGATGTCTTTCTCTGCCGATCCGTTTGCCTGAAACACACAGAAGCATCAGCATCCGCTCCGCAGCGGTCTACGAGTGTGTGCTGGTGTGAGGCTCTCACGTGTGTCCGTGCTCGCGCTGCTTTCTGAAGGCGCGCCTGCCGCAGCATCTCCTGATACACGAGCACGAGCGAGTCCTGCAGACCGTTCAGCGCAGCACTGGGGTTCCTCAGGGCTTGACCTGTGACCTCCACACAGCCACGATCCACCGCCTCGTTGATGGCGATCACAGCCGCATGCACTGCACACACAACATCATTCGGCTCAACACTCACTTCGGTTTAAAAATCAAGTGTGTTTCTGTGCCACTCATTCGGCTCTTACTTGTAATACTTCACACTGCAGTTCTTCCTCAGTATTTTTAATCTTGTACAAGTATCTAAAGATACATTTACTTGGCAGAAAATTCATAAACCAAACATTTATATGTCAATGAGGTCAGAAAAAGAAACTTTTCTCTGATTCTTCTGACTTTCAGATATTTAATCTCGTTTTTTAAAAGCATAAATTCACTTTTTAATCAGTTTCTCAAAACCTATCTTATGACATTTTGCATCTCAGTGTATCTTGATTTAAGAAAGCTTAGATATTTGTACTAAAAACCAAGAATTGAAATGCATTGATCTGCATCAGGGTTATTATAGTTAACAAATTAAATCTAAATCCGCTTGAAATATAATAAATGTTAACTGAAGTAAAACATTAAAAAAAAACATTTTATTTCAGCAGCATCTCATTTTAATTTAGTTTAACCTGATGTACTAAAATTGAAATAAAAATGAAATATATAGACATAAAATAATTTACTAAAACAATGACAAAAATACACAAAATTAAAGTTTAACAAATTAATTAATAATTAAAATAAAAACGGAGTTTTAACAATAAATCTTAATAAATACTACTAATAAAACATCAATAATTACAAGTCAAACTGATATGGATGCATAACTTCCGTATTTTATTTACCCATTTATTTTAGTTGCATGAAGTTATTAGAAGGGTGCTTTATAGATGTTATTTATTAAATTGAGTTTTTGCAGTGCAGGCATGTGTTTTACCTGCGGCCTCGTCCACAGAGAGCTCGTTAGCCAGGATTCCTCCGATCTTACTGAACGCTGGCATCTGAATGCCGTATTTATCCAGCTCCCGCTTCATGTTATTGATCTCCTCCTCTGCAGAACATTTCAAAGGCTTTAGAAAACCGACAGCTGTGCTTCTGGATGCTGATCGGTCAAACACGCAATGCAGAAACAGCTCTGATGAGACTCACCTGTGAACTTGACCTTCCCGCAGAGGTCGTGGATCTGAGGGGCGAGTCCCAAACGAAACAGGAACAAACTAACACGAGAGATCAGTTATAACACGAGCTCAAACTGCAGCGAAACACACAGAATCTGATTATAATCATCTCTGATCCAGACCTCAGCGCGTGAATGCAGTAAACGGCTCTGGGCATGTTCTTCTTGTCGTACACATCCGTCGTCTCCGGATGAAACATCTGCAGAAAACACATCAGGAATCATCTTCAGTAATGTGCAAAGTTCATTAGTAAGGATGTAACGATTCACTCAACTCACGATTCGATTCACGATGCAACCACTGCATTTTTATCACGATCCAAACAAAGATGCTGCGTACATGCAACACGAGCAGTTTTTAATCTAAATTAGATTGTATAATTTCGAAATTTGAAGCAAAAACAGAATGGTTTGACCTCAGTTTTGTGAAACTATGCATAAAAATAAATATCTGCATGAAACCGAAACAGCAGACGAGCTGAACGAGA